CCAGTGTCAAGTTGGAAGCTGATGCTCTTACCGTTGATATAAACTAGTACATTGATGGGAGCATGACTTATTGATTTCACAGAGAACAGGTTGAAATCCGGCTGCGAATCAGTTTGAGCATTTTCACAGGTAGAGTGGTTCATTGGTTGGGTTAGGTAGTCTTGGTGAGAGTTAACATAGTGCTGCCTTTGGTTGCGGTACTGTCTTGACTGGCTAGATTTAGCAACAGACGAAGACTTTGCAAAGCAGGCCTTGTCAATGTGACCTTGCTTACTGCACTTATAACAAGTTGCAGACTTGAACTTGCATCGATGAGATGCATGGGGACCTTTGCATCGATGACATTTTTGATAATTATTACTAGATTTAGATCTAGGCTTTAAACGTGCAGGCTGTTTAGCATAAGTTGGAATGCTCTGATGAGGTTGGTGTTTGTTGACTAACCTGCTGTTTACTGCATGGATCTCTAAAGGTGCTAGAGATCTCGCCGCCTCGGATGACTGCTGGAATGAAGTTGCGAGTTGTATTGCTTTTTCCAATGTGAGATCTGACTCGAGCAGCAACTTTCTTTGAATATCAGGGCTGTTTACACCTGTCACAAACTTTTCACATAGTCTGTCAGACAGCGTGTCTCCGAATTCACAAAATCTACTTAAATGACGTAAAGCAGCAACATATTCTGATATTGACTCGTTTGGTTGACGAGTCCTACTGTCAAATCTAGCTCGACATAGAAACTTTGATGGGGTAGGCGCATGGTGGTCTGTTAGCAATTTGCTCAGCTCGTTAAAGCTCTTGGTAGTTGGACTAGCTGGTGCGCATAAGTCCTTTAGTAGCCTAAATTGTTGAGGCCCTATGACTGTTAACAAAACAGCTCTCTTTTTGGCTTCTATCGTCACGTTGTTTGCTTCAAGGTAAAAGCTTAACCTATCTAGATAATCATGAATGATTTCATCATTCGAATCAAATTTTTTTATTTGGCCATACAGCGTAATTATTCTAGAAATACTTAGCCAATATGCTCTAGCAAACCTCTTTTTGCGTAAGTAGGTGCTCTTTCTAGTGGATTATTTATCTTCGTCGCCAGTTGAGGTAGATTGGAGTGGTTCTATTATAACACACTGACGAGAAGCCATGCTGTTTGTATATAGATTTTATTGGGCCTTCTCGGCTACATGATGAAGATCGGAACAGGAAGTAACAATAGATAAATACAAGGGACATCACTCAATAACAACATTATAAATATAACTAATACAAGAAGAGTGAGTTCCCCTGACCTCACAAATCCCAATCTATTACAATTCTTTATCCAGTTAATCTTAAAATAAAATTATAGGGTAGAGGGGTGAAACAAAACCAAAAATGTAAAATTGTAATATGGTGGAGGGTTGACACCCTCAGTTACCACACCGAGTGTCATCCTAACTAGACTCGCCACTGACTAAATCAAATTATGTTAATGTATGCAGATAACCCAAAGTTACAGAATAAACTTTACATTTTAATGCACAAACCCACTTATAAAGAACACTTAGAAAAGAAAAGCCTGAAACATCTCCCAGTATACCGGAGTTTTCAATTCAGTCGAATAAAGTGGGCTCCCTAATTTCAGCAGAAAAGAACAAAGATTTGAAAAAAATGATGCCCTACATGCCAGAGATTGACAGAAAATTTATGACTACTCTTTGTGGCTAGTTATCATCTATTTCTAAATTACAAAGCCTTTAACAGTACGTTTTTAAAGCACTGTCGGCGAGTGTTATTTTTGCTAAAACTGTGTTGATTATAAAAACAAAGTTTATGTATTTTCTCAATATTCATTATTACAAGTTCTTGTTATTTTTGTCATTTTTTTTTGTTTGTTTTTTAAACGGCTCATGGTGTAGAATTAAAACATTAAAATCTATTGAACCTATATATTGACTTGTGAATTCATTTTATTAATACATTAAATCAAAATTCTGTATGCAAAAGAATACTTACAACTTAAAATATTACTTGTTCTGTAATGTAGTGCAAAAAATGTTTTTTGCACATTGCGGTAATCAAAAATATGAAAGTAAAGACCGGGAACAATAGGATAGAAAACCAGAAGACATTGCTCATACAAAAAGTAGATAATACTTCTAGAAAAGCTATTATAACTGCCTAAAAAACACAAAATTTGACTTAGAACATTATACAATTTTTGAAACCTGATCACTTTCATCGTATTTTGTTCTATCTCAAAAGTGAAAAATAATTATTATGGTCTTCTAATGGTACATAAAGTAATAAAAATAACTTGGATGCTAATTGCTTAATGCCCTTTAACATTTTATCTAAAAAAAAATGAATTGGAACAGTTTAAATATAATAATCAGACCACATGAAACTTCAGATGCGTTTTTCTCAAAACTACATTTTGAGAGATAGAACAAGATAATACTGCGGGGACGATATGTTAACTATTTGCCGAGATCAGAGCATAGATTTACTTTAAGACAACTCTTTATATTCTTGTGTAACTAGTTGATGTCAAAACCCAATTTAACTAAAGAAGAGCAGTCAGATGGTTACTATGTTTCTGTCTTGCTATAATATGAGCTTCTGTATTTTTTAGCTAATGTTTTCGTTAGCCTCAATAAGGTTTCTACAACGTGCACACATACCAAGTTGACCTATATTTGAAACACACCTGCAATCCTCGCTTCAAAGTTGGATTCCACTTATTCCTAGCTTTCTCGTCAATTGTGTTTTTGTATTGTCTTTTTCGAAAGATACCTTTACTGATAATGTACTGATGATGCCCAACAGTATACTGTCCTCTTCGTTTATATCCCCGACATCAATTTGGTGTTATAATTGATTTCTATTGTCACATGACTTAATCGTGATCTGCTGACTTGATATACATTAACATCTCATCAAACCATTAGATGTGATGGAGAATAATTAATTGAATGCTAATGTTTAAAATTACAGAACTCCCAATCTAAATGGATCATTAGTCAAGTTGTTATCATTTTACATAACATTGCCAGAAGGAAGGGAGCGAAGAATGTTTTCTCAAAAAACAAAACATACAATGTAAGTAAATGGTACAACACACTTTTTTTCAATTGATAAGCATGTGCTCATTGTTCTTTAATTGTATAACTTTAAGTGAATCGCATATTGTTTTTAATCTGATTGTTTATAAAGTGAAAGGAGATTGAACACATTCTAAAATACAGAATATAGGATTACAACAATGGTTGGCATATATCACCAGTATATAGTCAAGTAACTAAAGTTTGATTATTTTTGCAAACAACTGCAGGCTCAATACAAATGGTGAAATATATAAGCAAAAGCTTAAATACTTAATTTAAGCAACAATTATTTTTCTATTCAGATGAAAATGAAAGCTAATTTTTGTGTATCTCTATGGTTGTTTTTTTATGAATTTCCACACTTTTCATCACTTTGTCATGGAATTTTGACAAGTTGATGATTAGCGCCCAGGGTTCCCCTGTTGTATATTTATCACATGGGTCCGTTGTTTGTTTGGCTTCACGTCATGAAACCCTGGCCAACGCCGTGAGAAGGTCTACTATGACGTCTATGAGTAATTTAGTTAGTTCCGTACACTATGGATACTGTGGGCTACTATAATCGTTGACTATATAGAGCTATTACGAAACACCACTCTATCAGCCAGATAGCTGGCGAACGTACCCGGGTTCGTTTAGATGGTTATACACAGATGGCTTAAAGCCCTATAAATGGTAGCTAGCACAACAGTTAACGAGGACACGTACTTAACGTCTAGGGGATACACTCGATGAACTCCTGATACTAACAACACATTTAATCCGATATATAACTTTTAATATGTGTACAAATTCAAGATAAGAATCTAGCTTTATACAGAATAAAATGAGTGAGTAAAATAACAAAAACCCAACTTACAATTTGAGGAAAAAAACACTATGTTACACTATCACAGGATATGGCACTCAAGAAAATCACCACAGCTTATACGACACTACTTAAAGCACAAAATATTACTTAAAACCACAAGTAATAAAGGAAAAATGCTGCTTAAATCTATAGGCTACAAAATAGCGACACTCAAGGCTTTCTCTCTCAAAGATGTCTGGTCTGACTTGCTGCTACGGACTGCTGCGGTGGACTGCCTGCAGAAAAGTGTCCGCAGACTATTTGACCTCTGAGGCAACATGGGAGGTCACCTTCAAAACATAAGACTATTGGTTGGGACATCTCTGATGTCCGAATCAACCAATCGAAAGTATAAAAGTATTGCACCACCACTGGTGATGGAAAATTACTGGGTATATGTCTTTCTTGGAACTATGGAAAAGTACCGGTGGTTGCACCACAGGTCACTCATGGTTGAGCAATAAAAGTCAAACTAAAAAATTACAAGACCTAAGTAGGTCACAGAGCAGGCTGTGGAATGACTCTGAAAACTCTAGCCATTAACTTGAGCATTGTGACGTCAACGTTGTTTGTTATGTTTAGCGCGAAAGACGTCTGATACGGTGGACTAGTATAATCGTTGACTTAATCCTAGGCTCAAACAGTAGAGCACCTAGAGTTTCACAACGACCACCTAAGAACACGGAGTCAATACATAAGGTGTCTTCTCAACCTTTTAATTAGTTTTCTTCTGCTTGCTTGTAGGACGTCCGTTAGACCACCCAGCTCTCTGGTTGGTACCTGTTTCAGGTTAGGGAAAGTAAAGATATCTGAGTATAGAGCTCTTTCCACTTATAATATTTTGCTACCGAAACTAAACAAGTGCACTCTACTACAAACTTTCAACCAGCCAGTGTATCTTTTGTGTGTATCATTTTTCTTACTAATTTTTGCATAACTTTTAACTCAACATTACATTTGAAAGTGCTGCATATTTTAATTTTAAATACCAGAATAGACTATGTTTATCATTTCAAATTAACATCCCTTTATAAAATCTAATGTATGGTAATTGTCACTAGGTTATTAAAAACATGGAGTTTAAAGAAAAAGACAAATCAATGATTGCAACACTTTTACTGTTACTTATAGAAGACGATTCTACCACAGATACGGAGGCAATAAGTAATGATTTAAACTGTTTTGTGTAACATGTTAAATACTAATTATTTTACTAAATATCATTACATGAATTTGCTTAACTATTATAGATAGTGTTAAAAACATAGGATTGTGATATTTTTAGTATTATTATCTGACTTGCAGTTTATACTCTAATTATCATCAAAGTAACGGGGTCGGCGAGGTCGAGTCGGTAAAGCTCATGGTTGCTAAACCGAAAAGTCTCGAGTTCGAACCCTCGGGCAGATGAGGCTCGTTAGCTGGGGACAGCCACTCTTCTATGAGAGACAACTCCAGAATTAAACAACTGCTGCCTTGTAGTTTGTTCTTGGTTGGACAAAGGCTATGGAAGCAAATCCAAAAAGAAAAGCAGGCTGAAATCGGAGTCAATGGCCTCAACGGCGCATAACCAGTTCACACGTAACGCTTAATTGTGTTGAAGGCGTGGTCGAGTCGGCAAAAAGCTCATGGTTGATAAATTTGAACAAAGTCTCGAGTTCAAACCCACTGGCAGATAAATCTCGACCCCCTTCAACACTAATAATTAAGAACGAAGAAGAAGAAGAAAAGATCAAAGTAACACAAGCGTTGAAAATAAATAATAGTTACAGTTATAAATAAGCATATTTGTATAAATGAAATTGTTGACTATAACACGAAGCTGTACCTTATCAAACACAATCATTTTCCATAGATAAAACTTTCTAATTTAGGAAATAAACAATATTATATGTAAAAGTCAATAAAATGTATATAGTCAATGCATTACCATTTTAGAAATGAACAACTAATCAATTAATCAATTGCTTTTCTTACAATGTGTATTGAATGTTAAAACAGGAAAGTCAAAACGTAGCCTGAAAGAGTTTTTAATGCAATATGTTACAAAGAACGTAGAAAAGCTACAGGGATATTCACGATCCGAGCTGCTTCAAGGACTGGCTATAATCTTAGAACAAAATGACGACGAGTTGAATGAGGTCATCATAATTGTTTCTTTCTACTTTTAGTTAAGGCTCATTTAGACATTTTAATGTTTGTTATATTTTGTTTCTAACAAATCGCTTGTTTAAATTTAAAATACCGATCAACTTGCATTATTTTTAACAGGAGAGTACATTAATAACGTCGTTTGCTTAATGATTTTTATGACATTTAAATCTGTTCAGATGCTTCCACTGTATCCACACCTAAAAGAAATACTAACACATGAAGATCCTGATGAACAAATATTTACGACACAATGTTTGAGAGAACTGAGTAGAAATAAAGAGGGAAGTGAGAAAATTATCACAGACGAAGAATTAAATGACATGTTAAAAGTTTTAATGAGCAGAAATGATGGAGATCTCTCAGCAAACGTACATTCGATACTTTGGACTGCTGGACGTACAACAGGAATATTGCCATCTAAAACAGGTAAAAAAGTATAATAGATGATTTAGCTAATTTATTAATAATATAATTAGCATCAGCTTTTGATATTATAATGAACATTGATTTATTTTCCAGTGTTCAGGGTTTATTTTTGACATACATTTTCTTTTAATAAATTTAGATATTGTGCTGTCTGATGAGTTCCCCAAGAAATTTGAAATTAAACCAATGCCGTTAGGTCAAGGAGGTTTTGGTAGCGTCCATCTTGTTGTTGATGTTGATCAACCAGATGATGAAAAATTTGTTGCAAAGAAAGCACACGCAGACCCAAATAACCAAAAGAAGTGGATGGTACGTAGGGGCTCTCATATGACGGCATGCGTTAGATGTTTGTTAGGCTAAATTTTAAAATGATAAAGCAGGGAATTTACATATAAAAATGTATCATATCATCAAATAGTCAATTCTTTAATTTAAAAAAGTTTAATATTGAAAAATATTTATTTTACTTACGTATTTCGAATCATTTCTCTGACATGCATCCTGTATACATATATTTTTCTGACCGCGTGCAAGTTTATATTGACAGCTTTGCACATATTATATTTATTTTTAACAGGAGAGCCTACAATCAGAGGCTTCAATTTTAATTAAACTGAAACACAAAAACATTGTCAAGTTTCATGGGTATCAAAGGAAAGAAAATGATATAATCTTATTTCTGGAGTACATAAAAATGGTAAAACAATATTTCTTTACTGATCACCACTGAATTATTTGACACTGTATCAAAATGTCAGTTGAATTAAGTTGACAATTGTTGTGTTTTATCTCCAGGGTGCCCTCTCCACGTTCATCAAACAACACACAAGACTCAATGAAGGTTTGACCAGACAGTTTACAATTCAAATTCTGGAAGGCGTGAAGTACCTACATGAAAACAACATCTTGCATTTGGACATCAAAGGTATAAGAAAATAATATCATTATTTTTAATACAAGTGTAACCATTTTAAAAGAACGAGTTAATTATTTAAATTTTTAACAGGTACTAATATTTTAATGGTGGATGAATCAAACATTAAACTAACAGACTTTGGCGTGTCGACAATACTTAACGAGGATGGTGTTGAAGCAGAAAGGGGCACAACTCGATATATGGCTCCTGAGATGATTGACTGCCCTGATGGTAGAATATTTAAACATTGTTGTAGCTTGGATATTTGGTGAGAATGTTTTATTTAAATTATACTTAAGTCAATATAGGTTTAATAAAAAAAAAACTATTCTAAAATCTCTAATGCATTTCTTGTTTTAAGAACATCCAAATGTATTATTTTTATACCTAAGCTTCACAAACAATTATTATTGTTGTCATCTTAACCTAAACAGATATATATTCTAAAATATTTAATTTCATTGTGCACAAATGTCTTTTTCTATATTACATTTGTGTAATGTATATAATAATACATTTCACAATTCGCCCATGAGTGTGGGAAGTACAGTTGTAGAGATGATAACTGGATCACCACCAAACTCAACAACGACATCAGCCAATGTACTTTTTAAAATCGCTATGCTGCAGAGACCAAAGTATGAGCTGGCAATCGCAGCGTCAAAAAACCTGAGAGATTTTTTAGAAAAGACATTTACACCTGAGGCAGAACAAAGGCCATCAGCAGAAGATTTTTTGAGAGAAGACCCGTTTATAACAGGCAGTTTATAAATGATGACTATAATTGTACGATTTGTGCTTATTACTACATTTACGTATTAGCAATGTTTTATAAATAAAGTTTTTCATTTTCGTTGACATGTCAAAGTCGTAAGGATATAACACAATCTTTAGATAATCCTTAAACTAGATAAAAGTGTCATAGGTTAATGCAAATGTGTATTTTATATTTTCCATATAACATGTAAAAAGAAAGAAGTATCAATTTTTCGGATCAGTATACTGTCAAACTACATCTTTACTAAACATCAATGTCAAACTATTTTAACCACATTTTGCAACGATAATAGTAAAAATACCAAAACATTTGCGAAATTATATACTTAATTATACATTAAAATCAAAACAATTACTAAACTGGTATTGAGATTGTGCCGAAATCATTGTTTTTCTCAATCTTAATAAAATATACTATTATACTATTAGTTAAAGTGAACAGGATAGACCATTTTTTATTGGGTATCATATGAATGTTTAAAAGATAAGACATTAAACGCCGAATTTTAATAGTACCCTATAAGTACAGGATTTTATAAAGATAATATTCTGAAAGAATGTTTTATAAATAAGCGAATTTTTTAGAAAACCTCCAATCGTTTGCTATATTTTGTAAATATGATCTTTTTTTACAAAGTAAAAGTATTGTGTAATTAAACGTAAACCATTCAAATATAAGTAGTATCAAACAAATCAGTTTTATTTACATCAATTCCACTGCTATTTGCCAATGTATGTGACGACATTTTCGGATACATAAGTCTATGATTGCTAACCGACCACTGGCTTGATTCAGTAAGACGTTGCTGATTTCTGCCAGCTGTGATGGGTATGTGACTCATCATAGAAAAAGTAATGGCGAATAGGCACAATGTTGACCACCTCATCCTTTTGTATGCCAATGTCACAGAAGCTAACGGTCCGTCAGTTAAGAAAGGATAACTCCACTGTTTTCTTTCTTCTTCTTCTTCTTCGTTCTTAATTATTAGTGTTGAAGGGGATCGAGATTTATCTGCCAGTGGGGTTGAACTCGAGACTGTTCGAATTTATCAACCATGAGCTTTTTTACCGACTCGACCACGCCTCCAACACAATTAAGCGTTACGTGTCAACTGGTTATGCACCATTGAGGCCATTGACTCCGATTTCAACCTGCTTTTCTTTTTGGATTTGCTTCCATAGCCTTTGTCCAACCAAGAACAAACTACAAGGCAGCAGTTGTTTATTTTGGAGTTGTCTCTCCTAGAGAGGAGTGGATGTCCCCAGCTAACGAGCCTCATCTGCCCGAGGGTTCAAACTCGAGACTTTTCGGTTTAGCAACCATGAGCTTTACCGACTCGACCACGCCGACCCCTTCTCTGTTTTAATATGAATGTCTTTTATATTATTATGAATTTTTAATGACCCTTATGCTTACTTATGAATAAAGTAATATATGTATTAATTAAATGCTTAAAAAAAGATTATATAAAATAATAATATAGAATAAGTTTATATTAACTAATGTATTATTACATAATTAACAGAGCAAACACTATAGCTTGATGTTAAAGATTAAAACACACGTTGTTCAGGTTTTTTTTTTAATCGGCTATATGAAATATCTTATTTAAACCGTGTTTTTTGTAACACTTTGTTCGTTAATGTTTTTGGATATATTTTAATTTTTTTTTTTTGTTTAATTTTATAAAATATAATAACAAAACAAATTTTAAAGTTATCCTGTCAGTTAAATTGAAATGTTTTGTATACATTAATGTCACGGTTACTAAGCATAAGATATTACAATTAAGTGTTTTATAAAACTTTAATTTTTGTTTGCAATTACTCACAGCATCTTATTATTTTATTCTATTTCTGTAACTTTGAACATAAAATTATAGTTGATAAACTGTATAAATCATCGTATATTTGCATTAAAACCGTAGTCAAAGCTTGAGCCTAAACCAGAGCAAAATGAATATGGACATAATTTAGTTGAATGTAACTACTAGGGGAAAAGAGTAATTTTTTACTCAAGGTTTTAAGTCTGAAAAGAGGTGATGGATACCGAAAAATGAAAAGTAATAAATCTAAAGTTAGCATAACAATAATTAGTTGTTTTTTGTACTAGAAGTTTAAAAAAGACAGTTATATTACTACAAATTAAGCTTCACTTATTGAATAAAATAACGTATTACATGAAAATAACTAAGCATTCTGTAGGACGGCATGGCGAGGCTGTAATGCACAAGACTCCAGACCTAGAAGTCACGAGTTGAAATCTCGGACTCTAGTCCGAAAGAGTCCACCCACTGAATCCACCCACTGTGTCCACCCACTGAATCTAGCTACTAAGTCCACCCACTGTGTCCACCCACCGCATCCACTGAGTCCACCCACTGAATCCATCCACTGAGTCCACCCACTGAGTCCACCCACTGTGTCCACCCACTGAGTCCACCCACTGAGTCCACCCACTCCACCCACTCCACCCACTGAGTCCACCCACTGAGTCCACCAACTGAGTCCACCCACTGAGTCCACCCACTGAGTCCACCCACTCCACCCACTCCACCCACTGACCCGACCCACTGACCCGACCCATTGAGTCCACCCACTGAGTCCACCCACTGAGTCCACCCACTTAGTCCACCCACTGACCCCACCCACTGACCCGACCCACTGACCCCACCCACTGAGTCCACCCACTGACCACACCCACTGAATCCATCCACTGACCCCACCCACTGAGTCCACCCACTGAGTCCACCAATTGAGTCCACCCACTGTGTCCACCCACTGTGTCCACCCACCGCATCCACTGAGTCCACCCACTGAGTCCACCCACTGTGTCCACACACTGAGTCCACCCACTGAGTCCACCCACTCCACCCACTGACCCGACCCACTTAGTCCACCCACTGACCCCACCCACTGAATCCATCCACTGACCCCACCCACTGAGTCCACCCACTGAGTCCACCCACTGAGTCCACCCACTGAGTCCACCCACTGAGTCCACCAACTGAGTCCACCCACTGAGTCCACCCACTGAGTCCACCCACTCCACCCACTCCACCCACTCCACCCACTGAGTCCACCCACTGAGTCCACCCACTGACCCCACCCACTGAATCCATCCACTGACCCCACCCACTGAGTCCACCCACTCTACCCACTCCACCCACTGAGTCCACCCACTGAGTCCACCCACTGAGTCCACCCACTGAGTCCACCCACTGAGTCCACCCACTGAGTCCACCCACTGAGTCCACCCACTGAGTCCACCCACTGAGTCCACCCACTCCACCCACTGAGTCCACCCACTGAGTCCACCCACTCCACCCACTCCACCCACTGAGTCCACCCACTGAGTCCACCCACTCCACACACTCCACCCACTGAGTCCACCCACTGAGTCCACCCACTCCACCCACTCCACCCACTGAGTCCACCCACTGACCCCACCCACTGAATCCATCCACTGACCCGACCCACTGAGTCCACCCACTGAGTCCACCAATTGAGTCCACCCACTGAGTCCACCCACTGAGTCCACCCACTGAGCCCACCCACTGAGTCCACCCACCGCATCCACTGAGTCCACACACTGAATCCACCCTCTGTGTCCACCCACTGAATCTACCTACTAAGTCCACCCACTGTGTCCACCCACCGCATCCACTGAGTCCACCCACTGAATCCATCCACTGAGTCCACCCACTGAGTCCACCCACTTTGTCCACCCACTGAGTCCACCCACTGAGTCCACCCACTCCACCCACTGACCCGACCCACTTAGTCTACCCACTGACCCCACCCACTGAATCCATCCACTGACCCCACCCACTGAGTCCACCCACTGAGTCCACCAATTGAGTCCACCCACTGAGTCCACCCACTGAGTCCACCCACTGAGCCCACCCACTGAGTCCACCCACCGCATCCACTGAGTCCACCCACTGAATCCACCCACTGAGTCCACCAACTGAGTCCACCCACTGAGTCCACCCACTGAGTCCACCCACTGAATCCACCCACTGTGTCCACCCACTGAGTCCACCCACTGACCCCACCCACTGAATCCATCCACTGACCCCACCCACTGAGTCCACCCACTGAGTCCACCAACTGAGTCCACCCACTGAGTCCACCCACTGAGTCCACCCACTGAGTCCACCAACTGAGTCCACCCACTGAGTCCACCCACTGAGTCCACCCACTCCACCCACTCCACCCACTGAGTCCACCCACTGACCCCACCCACTGAATCCATCCACTGACCCCACCCACTGAGTCCACCCACTCTACCCACTCCACCCACTGAGTCCACCCACTGAGTCCACCCACTGAGTCCACCCACTGAGTCCACCCACTGAGTCCACCCACTGAGTCCACCCACTCCACCCACTGAGTCCACCCACTGAGTCCACCCACTGAGTCCACCCACTGAGTCCACCCACTCCACCCACTCCACCCACTGACCCGACCCACTGAGTCCACCCACTGAGTC